GAGAGTGTGTGTGTGTGGTGGTGGTGGTGGTGGTAGTGGAGTAAATTAGAGTTTTTCTTTCTTTCCCCTCCAGCATTAAAAATAAACACATCTGGAGAGTGAGTTGCTGGAGATTGGTCAATACCATATGCAAATAAATAAGTGCTAATTGCCTGCAGTGTCTTTGGGTGTCAGCTGCAGTTATTGGACCACATTTATGGGCCAATTAGGCGCCTTACCGGACTTTAGTGGTGATAAATTGTGGCTTGGCGGCTTCTTGGAACGTGCTGCAGCAGTGGGGCTGGCGTAACTCTCCCACCCTTGCCAGTGTGGGTGGCAGGGCTTTTGTCTCTGAGGCAGCTGTGCTGGGACCTGGGTTGTCACGTGCACACCAGGGTGGAGGCTGGGCAGGGTGCAGCGAGGACCCATGGGAGCCGGGCCGGGGGCCCAGCCCAGGGTTCTGAGAGTCCTTCACCCCCACAAGAGGGGCCTGGCCCATGGTGGGCTCCAACGAAGCCAGGGCGGGCTGGGGACAGGCCTGGCCTGGCTGGAGCCGGGGCCTCCTGGGGTCACCGGGTGCCTGTCTGCGAATGTTCCTCCCCCTCAGCCCATCAGCTCTTGAGGCCTCATGGCCGCGGACCGACCTGAGGAGCGCTGTCTCTGCAGCTGGGCGCGTGCCCTCAGGTGCTCCAGGAAAGGGGAGCCGCCAAGGGCYGGGGGTGCCCCTGTCGGGCAGGTGGGCGGGGCTCCAGGGGCCACCCCCACAGAACCAGGCCACGGGTGGGAGGTGCAGCATCCCACGGGGCAGGCAGGAGCCTCCCCAGGGGCACTGTGGAGCCCAGGAGGCCGACCAGGTGCAGGGAGGCTGAGGGAGCAGGGGGAAGGGAGGGGCTCCCCAGGAAGGGCTACTTCATCTTAGACCCCAGGGAGAGGAGGGGCTGGCCACCAAGGGGCCTTCTCAGGGAGAGGAAAGGGGTCATAGGGTCTGTGTGGCAGAGGCAGGTGTGGGAAGGCCCCTGGAGCCAGTGAGGAGGGGGCGGGGCGGCGCAGGATGAGGTGGGGAGGGAGCCGGCCAGCAGTCGAGGGGGACTACCTCTAGGTTTTGAACCGAATCCTCAGGATATGGGCATCTCGGATGAGGTTCTGAGCAGAGGACAATCAGATCATGTCCCTAGGAGGAGGGTCCTGGGAGGGTGTGGGGGCAAGGAGAGAACCTTCTGGAGCCAGCCAAGGTCCCCCAGGGGAAAAGGTGGGCTGGGAGGGAGGCAGACACCKGGAGGGCACTGGGCCCCAGGGGTGGAGGGGCAGGAACCGGCCTTCTGGATGGTTCCCCGCTGTGTGCGCTGAGGCTGCCTGGGGTSGGCTTGAATTCTGTCCCTTCAGGTTCCACCGGGCCAGGTTCACTTCCTACCTGTTCCCTAATCTTCCACCATAAAGAGTTTCTCCATGTGTCACCAATCTGGGCATGAGCCAACCATGTCATAGACACCCCCARCGCTCCCTCCCCTCCAAGTCAGGGGCAAGCCACGAGAGCCAGCACACACCCAGACAGAACCTTTTAAACTCATCAGTGAAGTAGAGTATGGAGTAGCCCAAATCACTAGAGGGCTGGGGGTGCGGCTTGCGGCAGGGCGCTTGCTCCCCGGCAGCATGCACATCCCCCTCCCCGAGCTCCCCAGGGACCAGCACCTGTCTYTTATTCTTTTCAGGATTTAAGAATCTTTAGTAGAGGTCAGCCTTCTGTGTGCCTTTGTATCCTTGTTTCTATTTGTTACCTCCTTGTGGTGGACAGTTCGGATGATGAAATAACCGTCAGTGATTTTCGTAGATGTGCCACGGCCTAGTTAGCCACCTCGCTGGCCTGGGAGCTCGTTTTCCTCATTTCRTGGTGACTGCCCTCTGAGAGCATCTTTGTGTCATTCCCTGGCTGGACCCCTGGACACTGGGCTCACTCTGGTGTGGTCCTGCTGTGACGGAGGTGGCGGCCTGGATTCCTGGGTTACAGGAAGATGCCCGGGGCCTTGGCACACCCGCAGCATGCTCTGTCCGTCCTGAGGGAATCTGGCCAGCGCTGTGCACCATCACCTCAGAAGTCTTGGCTCTGGAATCTGAATATCCGTTCTGCTTTCACGACTGACCCTGGGGCGCCTCCCACAGCACTGGGCACCCTGGGGTGGGAGGGGCTCGGTTCCCAGCCTCGGGCCTGGAAAAGCTGAGGCCTGCTGGGAGAAAGGCCTACACCCTTGGTGACTCAGTGCCACAGGAGAGTGGGGACGAGCCCAGGAGGGGCGGGCAGGTCAGATGAGGAGCCACTGAGCCACAGAGCAAGGTGCGGACAGCTGCCCACTGGCCTCTGTCCCATGGAGGTACTGTGTGCGGATCACTGGACGTGCACRTGTGGTGACAAGTGAAAGGACCCTGGGCAGAGACCCTGGGCCGTCTGCTCCACACCCGCTCTCCCCCACTCTGGCAGTCACCAGCCCTCACCCCACCAACATCGTGTTTCCCAGGTTCTCTTGCGACCTGAGTGGCCCCGACTGGTCTGGTCTGGCCTGTGGTGTAATGAGGGGCCCCTGGCCCTCCTCCTCCTGACTCTTCTTCCCACCTGGGATCCTGGTGCTGGAGTTAAGGGTAACTAGCACCAGGGAAAGGTGACCAGAGCGGCGGAGGGTGGACCCGAGGCCCCCAAGGGCACTGGACCCTGGGTGGGGGCTGGGCGTGTTCTGCAGCTGTGCAGCCAGCACCAGCTGGCCTGCCTCCAGCTTCTGATTTTGTGAGGAAAAGTAACCTTTTAATTTATTTAAGCTGTTTTGCAAATGTTTGGCCCGAGACAATAACCAGTGTGCGAGGGGTGCCCCGAGCCCTCTGCAGATTACCTCCGTGGACCTTGTTATTTTCTGGAAGAACATCACCTTTGTCCCTGGGGACTCTGGCCTGCTGGGGTGTGACATGCCACCCTGAGGGTGGGCCACACTTTTGGCTGGGACAGTCGGGAGGCACTGTGCACTGTGAGCTTGGTCCCCTCTGCACTGTGAGCTTCCTGTGCGCTGGAAAATTAGCGGGAAGTGTCAGTACTTGTGAGCAGGGAGCAGGTCCCTGGCGTGTGCAGAAGCCYGGGAAGGCCCTCGCCACACCCCCAACTGCAATGACGCCTGGGTGGTGGCGTTTGGGGTTTTACCGTCYTTGGACTTCTCTGACTTTGGGGAAATAAAGACACAGTGAACATCGTGTGAGAATGTCACAATAATGCTCRTGACCCCAACGCCATGAGGAGTGGAGCCCTGGCCTGGTGTCACTTCCTGCTGCCCGCTGCCTCCCTGCCCCTCCTCTGTGGCAGCCTGGGACAGTGCAAAGACACAGCTGAGGTTCCTGGACTGCCGGGGTCCAGTCCGACGTGCTGGCCGGGGAACCCACGTCCTCGGGGGGTTCTGTCCCTGAGAATGAGATGAAGCAGCAGCCCCTTCCCTCCTTCCACTCCGCAGCCCGTGGGCCGGGTCCCTCAGGTGGGGTGGCGGGCCCAGACCGTCCCTCTCCTGCAGTCCAAGCCCTTCTCTGTGACAGACCTTCCCTGGAGGAAACCCCGTCAGCCGTGACGAATGACCAGCACCAAACACGGAGTCCACGGAAGCGTCGTAGACGTATCTTCATTTCTTTATTAGAAAGAGGCCTCTACGCTATAGCCACCTCTCCCCGCGACTTCACACAGCTGTCTTTTTCTTTTCCCCTTAGAATACTGTACAGCTGACACAAAAAAATCCCAAGGCAGGAAAATACAAAYGGGCATATTTAATCCAAATGAGGTCATATGAAATAACAAGCAGAGTGAACTGTCTGTCCATGGTTTTAATTACAGTACAAACAACATAAATAAAGCGTCATTGAGCCGTCGTGAAACATGGAGTTGCCGAATGAGGTAATATAAAAACAACCCAAGTGACCCCTGTCTCTGGATGGACCCGGCTGCCCTTCCATCTTCTGTACATGGCTATTTACAGAAACAGAAACGTGCTGCAAGGTGGGCCGAGGTGCGGCCTTCCCTGTCCACCCCAGATGACGTGCCTCTGTGTCACCTCTGATCTGTTCCAGCCCCCTTTCAGAAACAGGCTCCCACGCAAGATGAGGACCAAGGCAGGCCGGTGGGGCAGAGGGGCCGTCCACGGGGGTGGCTGTGGCCGCCTTTGGCTCTCCCCTCGCAGGCCTGGCCGAGGGGGCAGTGCTTTGGGACTCTTGCGCACGTTAAGGTCCCCCCCCAACACTATGGAGCATTTCTACATCACCTCCTGGCCATCTGGGGCAGCCCGGACCTGCTCCAGCTCCCCGCGTGCCCCTGAGGGTCCTGGAGAGAACGCTGCAGCGGCCCTGGGGGAGGTGGGCAGGGCGTGAGTGCTGGCTGCCTGGACTGGCCCTCACTCTCGGCCCCTTGGTCCCCTCSGCTCCCGACCCTGGTGACGACCTGGCATGCTGCACAGACATTTTCACTGGCTCCTCGGCTGAGGGCAGCTGGCTGCCCAGCCAGCGTCTCTGCACGAGGCCTGCCAAGACCTCCATGAGCTGGTACTACACAGCGGGGGGAGGGCCCGGGGCTGCTTCCTGGAGCCCACTCTGAGTGGGCACCCTTGGTGGGCACAGGTCTTCTAAGAGATCTACAGTTGACTCTAGCAGCTGCTCCCAGGGCTAGTGTGGGTGCCACCCGGCACTGGGTGACAGGGTATAACGGGCCCCGGGTGCTGCTGCCAGCTGCTSGTGTGTTCAGGGCTCTGCTCTCCCCGTTGTGTCTCCCACCTCTTGGTCCTTCGTCCACCTGCACCCGACACTCCCAGTGCACCCCACAAACAGGCCCCCAGACAAACAGCCCTGAGCCAGCCGGGCTCTCACGTGGGGAGGCGCCTGCTGTGGACCCACAGCAGCTGAGTGCTGGGTGCCCACCCCTAGGCCCAGGCACTGGGTGGGAGGAGGCCCCCCGACAGGGGCAAACCCCAAACCAAAAACACCTGGTGATGGAACACGGGAGGGAGGGCAGGCTTCCCAAGGTCCCCCTGCTGTGCTGCTGCAGGTGGGAGGTCACTGCACTGAGACACCAATGCTCCTAAACCAGCTTTAAAACCCTTCAGGTAAAGACTTGTTTCACAGAATCCCTTTCCAGAATGATCCATGGAGAATAATGACCTCTAATGTCAACCCGACACAGGATGCAGACCCACGTTTAAACAGCAGCAGATTTACAACGTACGTAGGGAATCTGTTAATATTTTTTAAAAATTTGGGGCAGGGTTGCTTTCCTAAGGGGGGGGGTACTTCTGGTCTGAAGCACTAAGGTCTAAGTTGTTAAATGTCATCTTTCCCCATGAAGTCGGACATGGGCCCTGATGCCCGGTTTCTCCAGTCAGGGACGCCTCGGGTCCAGGGTTACCTCCTGGCAGTGATGGACAGTCTGAGGGCTGCTGCCTGGCAGCTCATCTACCCCAAGGTGCTGGGCCCCTCCCTCCTCTGCAGAACTGGAAGGAGTTTTAACATTTGGGCTGAAAACAACCTAATTTAGGTGCTTGAGTGGCGAGGACCCACCAGGCAGGGCGCCAGCAGAAGAGAGTGCCAATCAGAGGTGCGGCAGGGTCCAGGAGTCCCCTGCCCTGCCGTCTGCCAGCACCACACCTGGGCGAGCAGGCCAGGCCTGGTGGGCCGCTCAGGGACCCGGGTGATGGGCTTGAAGGATGCCTGAGGCCTGGGCCCTGGCTTAGCTTCCGGGTGAGGGAGGAGGGTGGYAGTCACCTCAGATGTGACTTCAGGGCGTGAACAACCCGAGTCCCAGGAGGCAGCTGGAGATGAATCCTGTCCCCCTGAAGGAARGAGGTGTCTCCAGCACACTTCTATTCCGTTCCTTCCTGACTGCTTTCCAATCTGTTTGCYTGGAGGCCATAAATACAACTCAGGGGAGTTCTAGAAAAGTCTCGGTGACCTTGTCAGGGAGAGGGRTGGGGGCAGAGCAGATGGGTGGGGAAGCCACGAGGAGGCCAGTCACACCTCTGCTGGGGAGAAGCGCCACTGAGGCCAGGCTGGACGTGCCCAGGCAGGGGTGCAGACTGCCCCCTCCGGKTTCCTCCCAGAACACTCTAAGGGCCCTGGCACCTAGGACACAGCTCAGGCAGGGGGCTGCGCAGGTCCCCTTTCACCAAATTCAGACACAGTGTTGACCTGGGCCTTGGCGGGGAAGGTGGGTGCTTCAGTGAGCTGGACACTTGCCCTCCAATCAACCTCACGAGCCTGTCTGGTGGGGACAGGGTGGCAGAGCCTCAGGCCACACTCAGCCAGCGCAGGGTGCCTCCAGCAAGCCCTGATCCTTGAGGAGAAGAAAAGGGCACCAAGGTGAGGACCAGCCCATGCCACCAGAAGGGCACAGGAGGGAGAAGGGTGGCCTTGACCCGGGGCAGCGTAAGTCATGGCATGGGGCAATGCTCGGCCCCCTCCTCTGGAGATGACCACCAGGAAAACGAGCAACGTTCTGACAAGTGGGGGCTGAGTGCACTGTCCCCTGCACGCAGGCCCAGTTCCTCTCTCCTGCACCACTGCCACCTCCCAGGACAAGGGGTGTGAGGACACAGTGCCAGCTGGGGCTGGGTGTCCAGGTGTGTGCTGACTTCATTTCTGTTCCTAACAAACGCTCCCGATCCCTGGGCTTCATCCCTGCCAGGTGTGAGCTGGCGTCCCCCAGGCCAGGTGGAAACCTCTCTGCACCCTKCCAGGTCCACAGGTGAGGGACGAGCCCGAGGGCTGGTGGCTGCCTAAGGCTGCCTGCACCCTCTGGGGAGAAGGCAGGGCCAGGGGGATTTGTCTGTCCACCGACCAAAGCTCTTTCTCAGCAGACCACATTCTTCCAGTGAAGTTACATCTTGGTGTAGATGTCACAGGGTGGCAAGCCTGGTGTCCACGCCACAAGGCAGAGGACGCCTCTAATYGACCTCATCAGGCTGGGAGGAATCGTGGCAAAGGGAGCTCTYGTGCGTGGACCTGTACTTGAGCTGCAAGAGGCCGTTTGGCCAGACTGGCCTGCAGAGAATGTGCCCAGGTAGGGACTACAGGCAAGAGTGACTCTAGCTGGGGGTGTAGCTCAGTGTGTGGACCATGTGCATGGTCTTGGGTTCCACCCCCAGCCCTGGAAAAAAGAGCTCACTCTCTTCTACCTTTCCGGGCTACATAAACACTGCGTGTCCCGACTAGGAAACAGGACAGTGCACCATTTGAGAGAGCAAAGGCTCATGAATCCGTTCCTCCCTCTTGAACTGCTCATCTCCTGGGGCCATTACTGGGGTGCTGGGCTTGGTACCCTCCTCTCTTCTCCCCGCAGCACCTGAGGTCTGTTCATCCTGGTCAGAATCGTAGCCCCTTCCCCTGCAGGGACCCCTGGCTGCTGAAGAAATCCTGCCAGGTCTGTGCCTCACACTTCACAGGTCAGTGACCACAAAGCCAAGCTGCAGCACTGCCCAGGTGCTGTCTAGATCCCCATGCCATGGGCTGCTCCTGGGCACCCCCAGCTGGCTCTCACCTCGGGAGTTTCTACTCCAACAGAAAGGTCACGTGGACTCTGCAGTGGTGGCTACTCATGTCACCCTCTCTCTAGAGGGTGGAACGTAGACAGGAAGTTCCAACCCCCTTTCCGTACTGTTCATTTCTAACACTGGCTCCTGGCCCCTGCTTCCTCCAGACCCAGCGTTAGTAAGCTTTCAAATGGGAGCAGGAACACTGTCGGCCAAGAAAGGACCAGAGCCTGACACAGGCACGTGAACACATTAGCCACCACTCTCCTTTATTTGACAGGAAATCCTTAAAACCCCACTGCTGCTCTTCCATCTGYTGCCAAAATGTGGGATCCAGAAAGTGGGCAGCCTTGGGCCAGGGCAACGTGGCCACAAATGGCAGGGAGGGGCAGGAGGGAGGGAGGGAACGGGTCCAGCACTCAGGYTGTGGAAGGTGAAGTGAGACAAGAAGTCATTTGGGAAAATATTATATTATAAACACATATAGTATGTACACACTCATATACATCCCAAGAGAAGCCTTACAGGGAATTCCGTTTCTTTTCAAAAGAAGGCTCCACTATGATAAAGCATTCCTAGAGTGGGAATTAACTACAATGAAATAATTTAAGATTTTCATTTATATTCTATCTGTGTTCTCTACAGAAGGTCTACGGTGTATAGAGGCAAATGTGTATAGTGGGACTAGATGCTAATGTATTCTTCAAAAATAGGCAATGACATTTTYTTCTCTATTCACATTTAAAATAACTACACAGTGATGAAACACAGAATTAGAAGTCAAACGGAGGGATGATAGAACCACGGTCGAGGTTCTCGGAACTGTGGCTTGCTGCACCTGTGRTAGTTCTGGATACCGGTCAGTTCCTCTGAGCTTAATTAACATTAGAAATCTCCGTGAAACACTTACCCACATATAAATTCTGTGTAAAGCTTTATTTTCCCCCACCTACTTTATTTTTTTTTTTTAAAAAGTGAAAGAAGAGGAAAAACTCTTACAAAATATAAGGTTTAATATATGAGAGCAAGGAACTTCTCCTGTGGCTGCTGAGCCAAGAGGCTTCACGTTCCTGTGCTATGTCAGCCCAGCGCCCYGTGTTTCCATGTGACAACCTCCTTCCGGGCCACGTGGCCACAGGGCTCCGGGTAGAGCTGCCCCTTTCGTAATGTAAGGTGCATCCGGTTTGCTTTTCTGCCCTTGACCACCACATTGAAGGGGACCTGAGTCTGAAGCCCCCGATGACCCCATGATGGCAAACTAGTAAAATGCCATGCTGCCCGGGGTTCTCTGGACCCAGGTGGGGCWGGCACCACGGGCAGCTGCTCCCCAGGCGCCTTTGCCACAGAGCAGGGTCTGGGGTTCAGAAAATCCCTCTGTCCTGCCAGAGCTCCTTGTTCTGGGTGGGCAAGAGTGGTCTCAGATCTACAACACACCTTCAAAGAAGAAGCCATGCTCCTTCACCCCCTTCCTAATACGAGACCTCGATCCAGTGTCTTTTTTCTTCCCTTTCTCGATTTTAATAAGCAAATTGTACCACCATCTTATTTTGATCTGTTCCTTTTTAAAGGCTGTATATCACATTAATGGAAGTGTTTACTGCTGGGAATATTTTCCATGTACAATGATCTGTAACCCTCTTATCTCAACTAGTTGCACATTATTAGTTCACATCCAGTTCAATTTATAAATTAACAGAGGTGCCATTTGTCTGTACAAAAATCAATGCATATTTATGAACTTCTTTTATTCAAATAGATTTTCACACATCTTACCTAAGGACCTAAGACAGAAGCCTGGGTAAGGCAGGCCGCACCGCCTGGGAGTGACTGAGGCCCGGCACATCCACCTTGGCCAAAGGACAGAAAACCTCTCTCACTTTCAGGAAAAAAAAAAATAGCCTTTTATGTATTTACTTAGTTTACCAAATGCACTCAGGACGCTGCTGTCAGCTAGATTCACCATTTCCTTTTGAATTTCCAAGTTATTCTTATTTATTTTTTCCATTTTGTTTTTGCACCAAGGAGACTGCAGTCAAATAATACTCAGCAACTGATTTCCTCTCTTTGGACTGAAAAATTAAACAGATACTAAATTATGACAGTGAATTTAGAAAGGAGGGCTCCGAGGGCTCCAAAGAACATGCCTGGGATAATACGATGCTTCTCGGAGTATTGCAATCACATCGCGGCAATCACCGGAGCGTGCCCGTGACTACCTCCTCGGCTAATGTGCTCTCTCCTCAGTGATGAGTAATCATGTCCTATTAAACAGCGGTAATGCTGGAAGAACTCAACTATACAAGCGTAATGAAGCCAGTATTCTCCCTGGACAGATTAGCTACAACTGATTTGACACATACCATCATAGGGGCTTCAGACCTGACAAACTCTGGGCTGGCTCCTGATTTATGCCGTCAAGCTCCTCGGAGAAGAGATGAGCTCCGGGCGCTGCGCTGGGTGGAGGTGAAATGGACTCCTGTGCTTCACTGCCAGTWGGGGAGGTGCCCCTGCTCCTCGCTCCTCACCTCCCACCCGCTCGCGGCCCTCGTCCCTCGTGCCCTGCTCTGTCCAGGGGCCACCGGGGCAGGGGTCCCACGCCGTGTGCTATCGTCAAGGACCCGAGGCGTGGTCGCCCCCGTGCGGCGTCGGGAGTCCGTCGAAAGGAACCGCCTCTGCAGCCTGCTGGCCTCTTCTTCCACCCTCGAGGAGGTCCGGGTTGGGAGGTTTCTGGGGGTGAGTGGGTGGTGGGGCGGGAGGTGGCCACCAGGAAGAGGGAGGGGACGTGACAGGACTCACGTGCTGTGACTTCCGAGAGCGGACGGCGAGGCGGGGTCCCCGGCGTGGTGGGCAGGGGCGCGGCTCTCAGATGATGCTGGGCACCCTCCCGCTGCTGTTGTTCCGGTTATTGTTCTTCCGGGACAGGTTGGGGGTGGCCATGAGCACGAAGCGCTCGTCGGGGCAGCCGTACTGCAGCAGCACCTCGGTGCACTCCTGGCTGGAGGCCTGCCGGGCGTAGGCCAGCGCCGTGTTCCCGTGGGCGTCGCGGGCCATGACGTCCACCCCGTACTGCGGAGGAACAGAAGCCCGTTAGTGCCCGGGGACCAGACGGCAGGGAGCGAGGGGCAGCTTCCCCTTAAGCCCTGCACGTGGGAACTGGCCACCGGGGGGGACTGGCTGGGGGCCGGAGTGGCCAGGGTCAGCGGGGCCAGCGGCGCCGGAGCCTTGGAAGCTCACCTTTGCCAGCGGATGCCCTTCCCTGCAACACGAATGGGTTGGGACAACTCTGAATCTTGTTGTTTCTACTTCAACTTTCCATTTGTAAATGAAAAAAATCATCACTTTAAAAAAACCTCAGAGGCAATTCATTTTCATTGTCGAAAACACAGAAGTAGGGCTGGGGATGTGGCTCAAGCCCTAGCGTGCTGGCCTGGCATACACGGGGCACTGGGTTCGATCCTCAGCACTACTTACAAATAAAAAAAAATAAAGATGTGTTCACYGAAAACTAAGAAATAAATATTAAAAAAGAAAAAAGAAAACACATAGTAACACGTTAAGAACACAGGAGGAAAACCCCAGCCGTGACCTGGCCACTCAGAGGTCACCTTTGCTGAGTTTAGTGTTTCCCTCTAATGGTTCTTTGAATCTAACGTACCTAGCTGTGATGGAGATAAAACTCTATATGAATATTCTGTATTTTTTTTTTAACTGAACGCTGGGTATGATCATTTTCTTACATCATTAAAAATGACTCACAAGCACAGCTCCTAAGAGCCACAGGGTCCTGTGCCCAGGACCCACTCAGTCACTCCATTACTGTGACACATTCTACTCGAGAACAGTCACTGGTAGAAGAAATGAACTGTGTGGTGTGTGTGTGCACGTTCTGAGTCTTTCGCAGGACCGTGACTGTCAGAGAGAAGACAGGGAGGGCAAGTCTCTCCTTCCGACACCACATTCCTCTGCCTGCTGCTCATGAGCAAGGCCCTCTGCTGCTTCTGCCAGCTCACAGCAGCAGGACGCACTGCGGGGAGGGCTCCTGGACAACGGGGCGGGGAAAGCCACATGCACTGGGAAGGCCGAACTGTATGCCTGCCACTGCTGTGCTGGAATCCCAGCCCCCAGGCCAATTTGACTGGTGTCCTCTAGGAAGAGCAGGAGACACTGGACATTCTTGTCCACAGAGCAGTGACCATGTGAGGACACGGCAAGAAGGCAGGCCACAGGAGACAGCAGYCCTGCTGACACCTTGACCTTGGGCTTCCAGCCTCCAGAGCTGCAAGAAAGTCAGTGCAGCTGTGTGCCGCAGGTGGCTCCCTGCAGCCAGGGCTGAGCTGGTCACTGGTTTGCTGTCACTGCAGCCCAGGCAAACTAAAAACACTGCTATTTAGTTTCATTCAGTCTCTACTGAGCCAAAATGAGGCTGAGGATCTGATCGATTTTTGATTTAGTATCTGCGTGTCTAATTCTACTGCAACCATCAAAAAGTAGGTTAAAGACATGGAGGAAGCTGCAGTCCTCCTCAGTGGTGCCGGACTGGGCTGCGCAGCTGCCTCGGGTGCAGGCAGAGGAGCCCCAGCAGGGCGCCCCTCCTCTGACTCCTCTGTGGCTCGGTCCAGGTGCCCTGGGAGCTGGTGGAGGGCCACAGGCAGGGCCTCTTGCGGGATCATGGTCTACCACTTGAGCTTCCATGTGAAGGAAAAGTGTTTTCAAGTAAAAATTACTCAGAATATTCCAGAGGAAGCCCCTTGACAAACTCCCACCCCCTCARATTCCAGGGTTTAGGGCTCTACCATTGCATTTTGTGAATAAAAACACCCAAGGTTTGGCAATGGGGAAATGCCACGAGCCATGAGATCGGACACTTCCCAGGTCCCCAAAGAGCATGGAAATGAAAAAGGGGCTACTGCCATCACGTTTGACCTCAGGGGACATCAGAAAGATGGACCTTCAGAACCGGCAAGGGCGACACCAAGAGGACCACAAGGAGAGTCCAGTGGGCTTCACCCACCCTGCCACACGCTGGGGATAGAACCCAGGGCCGCACACGTGCCAGGCGAGTGCTCTCCTGAGGCAGCCTCACTTCCGCCTCTCATCCTCGCTCTGCAACCCACACGGTGGGTCCAGAGGGCAGGGGCCACCGCACTTCAGTCCAGATTCCTTCCTAGGACTCGATCCCCACTCTCACGCTGGTAAGGAGGGCCTTCCACCAGACAGAGCCCAGCACAGAGAGGGCAGGCCCGCCACCTACCCAGATGAGCAGCTGTGCCAGCACCACGTTGCCCTTGCGGCAGGCCAGGTGCAGCGCCGTGCGGCCGTCGCCCTCCCCGCAGGTCTCGTTCACCTCCTCCCGGGAGCCGTGTGCCAGCAGCAGGATGACTGTCCTCAGGTCCTCGTCGGCGGTGGCTCGCAGCAGGTGCTGGCCCAGGGGCAGCTCAGTACAGGGCAGTGGGGCCAGGAAGAGTTTCTGCTCATATTTGGCCCGGATCCACCGTTCCTTCTCCTCCCTGCAATGACACCAGACAGGCGTGATCACACCAGGCAGGAGGACCTCGGCCGCAGCCCCTGCCCCTCAACCCCGGAGCAGTGAAGTGTCAGGGCATAGGCGTGTCCACGTGGCAGAGGAAGCTGGGTGAGGGCAGGAGGATACCCACGGTTCCCAAAGTGGTGTCCTGGCCTGCAGAGGCACCCCCTGGCAACGTACTAGAAGTGCGAGCTCCCTGCCCCCCCCCCCCCACCAGCACCCAGGATCAGCACCTCTGGGGAGTTGAACTAGCCCTGCAGGGCTTGTGATGCCCTCAGAGGGTGAGAGCCAGCTCTCTAAGGCCACAGCCTTGACACACCGACTCGAGTTCTTTGTTTTAGTGCAGCAGCCGTGACCTTGGAAGAGAGCTGTCAGGAGGGCCCCTTCCTGTGGGGGTCTCCTGAGGGGTTTCCACAGGCTCCAGGAGAAGGGGCCCACAGCTATCCCTCCCTGGGCTCTGGCCAAGTGTCCTCCCTCCAACCCCGACTCAGTGTCAACTGTGCACTGCGGCCCTGGCCGGTGGAGTCCACTCTCCGCTGGGCTGATCTGGGCAGGAGGGCTCTTCCTAGGTGTCACTGAGGCCCACTCTCCAGAGGGAAGGTCTTAAAACAGACAGACAGAGCTGGGTGACGTGCGGGCACTTCTGTCATCTCTTCAGACTTGGGAAAGGCTTCGTGGAAGAGACAGGATGCCCAGCCTTCCTGCCACGACCCACAACAGCTGGGTTTTCTGGGGGAAAGCCTTCCAGGGCCCAGGAGCGGAAGCAGGCAGGTGGCTCCCTGCAGCCAGCACTGAGCTGGGGGGAGCCGGGGAGGCCTGGGGTGGGCTCCGGGGCGTGGAGAGCAGGTGAAGAGGGCAGCGGGTCCCTGACTCCTAGCAGCCTGGCAGGGACCGAGCTCTGGAGCTGGGTGTCAAGGGGTCTGTAGAGCTGGGACCCTGCCTGTGACATCGGGTAGGAGGGCTGAGGAAAAAGAGGAGGGGACAGAGTGAGGAGAGAAGCCAGGGCAGGCAGAACCCCGACAGCAAGACCAGTGTCCTGGCACAGAGGGAGGGCCCAGGCGGAGGGCCCAGGCCATCGTATCTGGGGTTGGGGTTGGTTTCTCAACAACAACAACAAAAAAAGATGTAAGAGACAGAAAACCCAGGGACCCTCCAGACTCTGGCATTGCTATGGGGAGAAAAGGGAGAGGACCAAGACTCTAAAAAGAACAACGTGGGGTCTTACCAGTCGCTCCTGAATGGTGCCAGGAGCCTGCTCAAGCTTTTTGATGAGGGTGATGAAGATGGTAAGAAAAGCCCCCACATGCCCAGAGCAAGTTACGGAAGCCCCCAGGACACCGAGCCGCAGCCGGCCTCCCCTACAGCCAGATGCGGTCCTGGGCATCACCAGGGTACACAGCTGCTGGCCAGCAGGAATCGCTCAGGCCTCCTGCCCTCCTCCCGCCACAGGCTCTGAGAGCACATCATTCAGGACGTGCAGAAGAAAGGCCCGCTCACACCTTTACCCCTGTTGACACTGCGCCTGGTGATCCAGTGTCGGGTTAGCCCTAATCTGTCGCTAAATACTTAGGCAAACAGATCCTTCCAGGAGCAAACCTGGATTAGTTTTGCTTCACTTCCTGGTACATGCGAGTGACCCCAGAGTGACCCCTGACTCTTTCATGGGGAGATTTCCAGGACAAACACTGGCCGCAGCCGAGGATGACCTGTGCTCCACCTGGGCAGACACCAGGTACAAAAGCAGACGGTGTCCGGAAATTCTGGTGACGAAGAAGAGAAAAAAAACCCCAGTGGTTTTGAAATTATTTTAAAAACCTTACTTATGTTAAACATTTGTTGATGCATTTCATAAATCACAAAAGAGAAAGAGCAAAACGTGAATTAAATCGAAAGGGATAATGGCGTGGGATACGTCCAGATTTCCAAGTTCCAATTTGCTAACTCTCATTTTTTCGGTAGGCATAAAATCAGACCGTATTATTCTGCTCCGATTGATTTTAATAGTCATTGCTAAGTCATCCAGGGTAAGCTGGAGAACTTAGCATAGGAACTCCGGTCCCAACTGCAGTTATTAAATGTTCTTTTTAATATTCAAATACCCCAGCCAAAGGCAGAGTGCAGATCCCACAGCTCTGACCCCCCTGCTGGGTCTGGATGTTCTCTGAGGACGGTGGCCACCGGCCTTCCAATGGGGCCACCACAGGAAGCTGTGGTGAGTGCTCCAGAGGGCAGTCACTGACAGCAGCACAGGGTGGGATGGGCTGCTCGCTGCTTTTAAAAACTGGTGTCCTTTGGATACAGAGAGAAGCCCGGCTCAGGTCTGCAGGGTGGAAAACGTGCTGTCTGGGGAGCCTTCTTTAAGAGGGGGGCTCCAGCATCATGTGCCCGAAACAGGAAGAGGGCCTGGCARAGGCCTAGGGGACGGCCTGGCCCCAGGTGACTCCAATACAGAAGAGGGGCCAGGCCTCGGGACCGGTGCCGGGAATACTGCAAGAAGACAAGCCTCGCGGACTCTCCACAGGGTCTGCCCTCCTGGCCTCGGTCCACATGGACCTCCACCCTCCACCCAGGATGTCCCAGAGCTGCTCAGCGTGTGGCTGTAATTGTGGCCCTTCACCCAGGCATCGTGGGCTTTTCCAAAACAGTCCTGCAAAGCCAACCCCTGCGTCCCTGGGGACTGTGATCTTTTTTAGACGCCAAGAGGTGACTTCCAGGGAGCTAAGGGAGGCTGCTGGCTTCGCATCTATCAGCCACGACTCTTGTTAGCAGTTTTAACCTGGTTAGTACAAACACAGGGCCTAGGCCACAGAGGCCCCTCTGAAAACAGCTGCTGGTATTCTTATAAAGCACAGAGCATCCGCAGTGGGGCGGCGTGTGCACCCGAGGTGCCGGTGGCCTGGGGCTGGGGCTCCTCGCTGCTGCTGGTACTTGAGGTTCCTAAACGTGCAGACCCGGGGGGCCAGGTGAGCTGCTCTCGGCTGGGGCCTGGACAAGCCTGCTGGTGTCTCCCAGGCCCCCTAACGGTATGGAGGGCTCAGAGTCACTGGGGTGTCATAGTTGGAGGGCTGAGTGGGCTGGCCTTTGCCCACAGATGAGAAGTCTGAAGTTTCCTGGCTCCCTGCCCACCGATTCCTATGTTGAAGCCCTAACCCCAGGGACTGGAGCTGGACTCAGGTCTTTAGGGCAGTGGCTATGGCTAAATGAGGGCATGAGGGTAGAGCCCTAAGGTCCTGGGGTAGGTGCCCATCTGAGAGGAAGAGACACCAGGCCTCCCTTGCTCTCTGAGTGCAGGGAGAGCCAGATAAGGATGAGAGGGAACCACTTGCAAGACGGGAAGAGGCCTTGCTAGACACCAACCCCTTGACCTTGGGCCTCCAGCCTCCAGAACTATAAGAGGCCAACTGTAGGTACTTGGCATTTGGATAGGGCATCCTGAGCCATGGACCTCCACTGCCCTTGCCAGGCTTCCGCACGGCCAACAGGTGAGAGGTGGATGTTGCCGGGTATGAGGACATTCTGCCTAAGCCACCACCCTGGGAATCCACGATGCCAGGTGCAGACATGCCAGTGGTCACTCTGACGTCCCGCTCTTCTTCTGTCCCCAGCTGGTCTCCTGCACCCTTTCTTTTCCCCAAGGAAGGCCAGTTCAAGAGCAGGAAGCCAGCAGTACATCACTTCACCTCGTTCCGGTGCCCCGGAGGRCCACTGCTCATGGCCTCTGTTAGCTAATGAGCTAAAAAATGAATTATTGGCACAGCTGCCGTCAGCAGGGAGGAGGGGCTGGTGCTCATCKGATCCTGGTGCTGACACACCTTTAAATAAATCAGCCACTCAAGCACCAGGGAGAGAGAGCGCCGCTCATCAGAGGACAGACATCGCCCCTCCCCCCAAACGAAGAGCAGACACCTTCAAAGATGCCTTCGTAGGTATTCTCTTCCTGCTCCCAATGAAGTCTCTTGGTGGGTGGCCCTCCATCTCCCTCTGGGCTGTGATCAGGAGCTGCCTGGTGCATGGACCACGGTCCAGCCAGGGAACAAGAACAGGACTTGGGGTCAGAGGGTGGACGCCAGGTCCTCCTGGCTCTGCAGCCAGGAGCCCTCTGGGTATGTGGGGGTCCACGGGGCTCGGCATGGACAATCTGGCCCTGCAGCCTGGTGGCTTTGTCACCCTGACCTTAAGCAGTGGTCACTTGGCCAATTCCTCATGTGTCCACCCCAAAGGGGACTCCCTCAAACACATCTCTCTTGCCACCTGCTACCCGGAAACCAACTGCTGCACCAGTGAAGACCAGGTGCCACCTCCTGCACTGACCGTGACGATGCTGAGGGTAAGGACAGACACCACCTGGCTTTGTGGGTCATTCCTGACGACATCAACTCTTCGAGGGACCCTGAGCACGTTACCATCTTCACAAATGAATCGCGTATCAGAAGCAGAACAAAATGTGTGTGAGTTGAGGCCACGTTTTGGGAAATCATGGCTCAAAGGAGTCCAGGTGTCAGGAGGGGGTGGAGGGAACCTGGAGGTGACAGGCACAGCTCCTCTTCTCTGGCACCAAGGAGGCCAGGTGGTGCATGCCACCCAGATCAGATGGGGCTGTGGGGTGCAGGCCAGCCCCCCAGCCTGGCCTTATTGGTTTGCGTGCAGAGGATGCAACACAGGGACGTGTGCGTCCTTGGCACATGCTCTACAGGGAGCCACATGGCAGTCTCGGGCCTGGCCTTCAGGTCTGGCTGCAGGCGTGATGAGGGCACAGCCAGGAGCCTTGAGCAGAAGCTCCCTTCCTTGGAAAGAGATGGACATCAGGTTCTGCTCAGCCTGCCAGGAGGGCAGCTCAGGGCCAGGGTGAAGAGCAGGAGGGCTTTATGACCCGTGTGCAGGCCTGAGTGAGATGAGCGCAGAGTGCCAGCCTCGCGTGTGTAGGGGGATGTGACGGGACGGCCACCAGCCTGGGCATCACATCAGGTGTATAGATGCAGGGCA